AAAAAAAAAAAAAAAAAAAAAAAAAAAAGGTAAAAGAAGACTTCAACTAAAATTTGAAAAAACGAAAATACTGTTAGAAAATGTGTTTCGAAAATACACATAATCCTACGAACTGATATGTATTTTTCAGTTTTTATAAATAATATAAAAATAAAAAATTACAATAGAACTGAAAATAAATTACAATTTGGAAAAATTGAAAGAATTTAGCCGAGACGAGTATACTCTTTCATACGTCCCGTGTAATGCTAACGGTTCAGGCTTATCGTCCCCAAAGATACAACGACGATTCTCTCGAAATCTGTAGCATACCAGACTACGAGCTCCGGTGAATTGGAACGGGTTAAAAATAGAATTAAAATTATATCTCTGTTGCTATTTTGTAAAGATAATTTTATATCTGTTTTTCTGTATTTTTTTCCTCCGAACTTCTTTCTCTCTCCTTCTTTTCTCTTCTCTGCAGTGTGTCTTTTGCTTAGCAATTGAACATGTACATTTAGAAGGGGTTATTAGTGAGTGGGTTAGTGGAGCAGTGATTAAGCTGCTATGTTTGTAATAACTGTATAGAACAATTTGGCAAGATGGCCGCTATCTTCATGCACACCATTCTAGGAAAACTGGGACCCACTCTTTAACTACACTAAATTATTTGTTGCAATTTGCGCTCGATTCATACAAATACATAAACACAGTTCATAAAAGCAAACATCATCACTAAAACAAACAACAAAGTAACACACACACACACACACAAACAAAATGTAATGAAAAGATCAAATTATTCTCAAGATGTAATGAAAAGATCAAATTATTTCTATCTTGTAATGTGACTGATAAACGAATCCAACTCCTTCTTGCTAACTCCACCTTCTTTCACAGAATCCCTAACGGCAACTCCCAGCTCTTGAGCCCTTCTCCTAATCTCATCCCCTTCTTCAGAATCCATCAATCTCCTCACAACACTCTCGATAGCACTCGCCGGCACGATCATCTCCTCCCGACACTCCTTAACGACCTCCACGCCGATTTTCAACACCTTTGTCATCAAAACCGCGTTCGCCGGCTGGTCCGAATGCATCGGCCAAGCGATAATCGGCACGCCCGCGCTAATGCTCTCCATGCACGAATTCCAACCGCAATGGCTCATAAACCCTCCGGTCGCGAAATGCCCGAGAATCTCGAGCTGTGGGGCCCACTCCCTGACGACGAGCCCCCTCTCCTTAACTCTCTCCTCGAAACCCTCCGGCAAAACGGGCCTTCGGGCCTCTCCTCCCGTAAAGATGTCGCCTTTATCCGCGTCCCTCAACACCCAAACGAACTTCTGCCCGCTTCTCTCGAGTCCGGTCGCCAGTTCTCGAATCTGCTCGTCGGGAATGGAAGTCGTCGAACCGAATGAGACGAACATCACGGAACTCGGTGTCCCCTGTTTGTCGAGCCAATCGAGACATTCGTGGGTTCCCGAACGAACCGGGACCGGATTAAACGGGCCCACCGCGAAATGCCGTTCCATCTCGTCTTTCATCGCCTCGGCAAGCAAATCGAGATATGTCCCTTCGATCAATCTATTGGTATTCTGAATGCTTCCGGAAATTCTTTTTTTAGACTCGAGTTGGAGTTTGAAGAACTCTTCGAGCTCGGGAGGGAAAAGCCCGTCCGGGCTCGGCGCCTCCTTTAAAACCAACCCAGCCTCGCCCGGCAAGTCGGGCTTTCCGGACATGTGCCACCTGAAAAAATACGACGCGAAAGCCGAGACACTCCAAAAGGTGTAACACTCTGCGTTCGGCATAGAGTCCAAGTCCTGCACCACGTAAGCCATGAGCGAATCGTACACGACGATAACCCTTGTGTAGTCTTTCGAGAGGTTCTGAACGAACGAGAAAAACGGGTCGCGAAGGGCGACTGTGGCAGAAAACGAGGGGACGAGTTGAGAAGGGAATCTTGTGGGTGCGTTCGGGTCTGGAGCCGGGTTTTCGAAAGTCGGGGTGGGGAGCTCGTGGAAGTGCATTTTGGAGAGGTCGGATGGCTCCCAGCCGTGGGCCCGAAGCTTGGCTTGCCGGACGTGGGCGCCGGAGCAGGTGAAGTAAACGGGGAGGTTTGCGGTGGAGACGAGGCGGCAGGAGAGGTGGAGGAGCTGGTTCAGGTGGCCCTGTGCCGGCAACGGTACCATGACAATCGCGACTTTGGGTTTTTCGCGGCGGCGTTGGCCGTTTTCGTGAGGGCTGGTGGTGGTGGCCATTGGATCGAGTAGAGTTTCTATTCTTCTTTAGAGGTTATTACAACAATGAGTGGATTTTTTTTTGTGAAATTTTGAGCCTCTCTTATAGTGTATCCAAACTGATAATTTCACCTATAATTAGCTTTTTTTTTTTATGTTAAAAGGAATAAAATTGTCTTTGTTATTCTACTGTTTTGGTCCAATGGTTTGAAAGTTGTTGGTCCAAAGGTCATCTTGTGAGAGGTTTAGTTTATAGTTTTCTTGCTTACCTTTTGGTTGTCAATGGTCGCCGAAAGATTGTATTTTTCTTCTTTGTCTTACCTGCGATGAGAATAATTAATCAGTGGCAATTTGCACCGCACTTTTTTAACTCGGGTGCTCTCCTTTTTCTTTTCGTAGGAAAGATTTTTGCATCCGTTAGTCGGGTCCGACACATTTTATATTTGAATAAATTAAAAGGCATATACATATACTTAATCAAATATCATATACATATACTTATGTTTGTGTTAGTTTTTCACATGTAGTATGAAAAGAATGCATTTTTAAATACGGATACCATTAGATTGACTCAAAAATAAACGTTAACCATTAGATTCAAGGTGCGAGGAAGTACGAGTCAGAAAAGAATTTTGGTCGTCTCGTACTTGCTAAAAACTTATTATATCCTTAATTCATTAAAAAATACAATTTAAATTAATAAATTATAGAATAATAATTGTATTTTTTCGAAGACCATATATCTACAAAAATAAATCTTCATAACTTTAACATTTGTCATATAATTTAAGAATAAATTGTTCTTGTTCTTCAAATTGTTATTCACAACATTCTTCTCCAGCATAGGAAAGAGGAGCTGGTGATGGCGACGAAGGAGGCTTGTACTCCAGATGGGTTGGGACATGAGTTGATGATCTGGAAGCACGAACGTTGGCCCCGGTGCCATCACCGGTCGGAGCCTTGTCAATCACATGCGACCAAGAAGTAGACGTACTAGAAAAAGAATAGAAAAATTTAGGAACTCTTCTCCTCAATTGAAATTTCCTTAAAAATTCCAACGGAAATATCGATTTCGGTCACCTGACCGTAAACCATCGCCGCGACTCCTACCGATTCTATGTATTGGTGCCATATTTGCCCGACCAAAAATCCGAATTAGGGTTTGACAAATTGTATTTGCCGTACAAGTGTAGACATCGACGTCAGAGATAAAAAATTAAAATTGAGTCAGGTAAATTAAAATAGAATTTAGGAAATTCTATGGTTTATTTGAAATACATAATTATTTAGGTTTAAAGTTAGAAAGTGAATAATTAAATAGTTTTTAAGTAAATTAATTAAAGTTTATAATGTTATTTTCTTGAACTTTTTAAGTAAGGGCATTTTAGGATTTACAGACAATAATTTTGGAATTTTTATTCAATTAATTATGAAAAATGACACTTTGACATCAATTGAAAGGATACCTATTATTATGTAGGTACACGGGCTTTATCATGAATATTGGTTCTTGTACCATCACAGGAGTCGAGCTATGAGGTCTTTTCCAGGGGCTTTTACTGGCTTGGGATTCGGGATTTCGACGAGTTATCGTTGAACTTGATAGCCAATGTGTCACGAGGATGGTGATGAATGAGGATGATGGATTGGGGGCGCATGAGGCTATGGTCAAGGCTATCCAAGACCTATTGAAGCGGGAGTGGACCGTACGTGTGCAACATGTTCATAGAGAAGCGAATTTCACAGCTGATCATTTGGTGAGTTTGGCGGTATCTTATCCGCTTGGATTGCATCGTTTCTCCTCACCGCCTCCTGGAGTTCGTGCATGGCTTGAGCACGATAATGTTGGGGTCTCATACCCACGTCGAGTACTAGACTAGTTTCTTTGAATATCTTCTTTGCACCAAAAAAGAAAACTTATTATGTAGGTATAAGGCAAATATGTACTTGAGGAAGAATCACCCAACTAACAAACCAAAATGTATTTCAATTAAGTATCATAGTTCTTATATTAATTCAACACATATCTCATAGTATATCATCATTACTTATCTCAATGTAAACCTCAACTGATCAGAAATGGCTTAGACAATACACAGGAGAAAAACACGAAACACAATCATACTAACACAAGCAGAAATACAGAACATATGAAGCAAAACCAAATTAAATTAAAACTCATCTAGTAATGTGACTAACAAAGGAATCCATTTCCTTACTACTAACTCCACCTTCTTTCACACAATCCCTAACAGCAACTCCAAACTCTTGGGCCCTTCTCCTAATCTCATCCCCTTCCTCAGAAGCCATCAATTTCCTCACAACCTTCTCCACAACACAAGCCCGCACGACCTCATTTTCCGTGGGGGGGACCGCATCATCCTTTACCCGAAGCCCGATTTTCAAAACCCGAGTCACCAAGACCGCGTTTGCCGGCTGGTCCGAATGCATGGGCCAAGCAATAATCGGCACTCCATTGCTCATGCTCTCCATGCACGAGTTCCATCCGCAGTGGCTCATGAAACCCCCAATTGCACGGTGCCCGAGGATTTCGAGCTGTGGGGCCCACTCTCGAGCGACGAGTCCCCAGCCTTTCACTCTCTCCTCAAACCCGTCTGGGAGAACGGGCCTTCGCCGGGCCCGTTCTCCTCCTCCCGTAAAGATGTCGCCTTTATCCGCTTCCCGTAAAGCCCAGATGAATTTCTGCCCGCTTTTCTCGAGCCCGATTGCCAGCTCGTTTATCTGCTCGTCGGAAATGGAAGTCGTAGTCCCGAACGACACGAATATAACCGAGCCATCCGGGGATTGCCGGTCGAGCCAATCGAGGCATTCGTTCTTGATTGGTGAATCCAGATTACCCGTTATCCCGATCGGATTAAATGGGCCAACGGCCCATTGCTTCTCGACTCCTTTTGAGAGGTATTCAAGATACGGGCCTTCGATCACCCGGCTCGAGTTGTAAATATCTCCCGAGAAGGTCTTCCGGGAAGACCGCTGCATTTTACGAAACAGGGCAAATTCAGGGGAGAAGCAATTGTCGAGGCCCGGAAGGTCTCTGAAGAGAATCTCGGTTTCTTTCTCGTTTTCCGGCAACTGGGGCCGCCCGGCCGCGTCCCATCTGGCGAATTGCAGGCAAAAGGCCGACACGCTCCAGAAACAGTAAGACTCGACATTGGGAACAGAGTCGACGTCCTGCACGACGTAAGTCATTAAAGAATCGTATATAACGACGACCCTTTTGTGTCGGGCCGAAAGTTCGGTTACGAAGGCAAGGATTGGGGCCCGGAGGTCGAGGGTTGCGTGGAAAGATGGGATTAGCTGGGATGGGAATTTTGTGGGTGCGTGCGGGTCGGGTTCCGGGTTGTTGAAGGGTGGGACAGGGAGTTCGTGGAAGTCGATGTTTGGAAGAGGGGACGGGTTCGAGTTCGGGCCGAGGGCTCGGAGCTTCGCCTGGCGGATGTGGGCGGCGCCGGCGACGTAGTGGACGGAGAGTCTGCCGGCGGCGGCAGAGGTGAGGCGGCGGGAGAGGTGGAGGAGCTGGTTGAGGTGGCCCTGAGCCGGTAGAGGGACCACAACCACCGCCACTGGCGGTTCCTCGCAGTGATTGCCGTTGTTAATGGCCATTGGAAGTTTTCTTTTTTTTTCTTTATTTTTTTTTACTCTGTTTGATTAGTGTGATATCTTTGGTCAGACAAATGAGAGATTTTAGTGGTTATTTTATAGACTTTTTCTTCTATTCTTGGTGAGCGTGAGTCGTTAGAAGGAAGGTTTTTAATTGTGTGATTGGAAAATGCAAAATTCGAGCACATGATAGAGATAATTCAAAAGCGGATTTGTACTTTAGACTTCCTCTTTTTTCTTACCAGCACGGCGGGTTGGACCCGTTAGACGTGTAGATCCGACCTATTGACTTTGGGTTCCGATCATCTAGACAGAAATAACCCGGCAAACCGGTCGGGTAACGGATTCCTGTCTGATAGAAAGATTTTAATATTTGAATTTGAAATTTGTAGATGTTTTCGGGTCTGACTCGATTCAACGGATCAAACATTAACTTTTTTATCTCACTCATTGAATTTTGTAGTTGGATGGTCAGAATTATTGACTTGGGTTCGAAAATTATCAAGAAAAAATTACCCGTCAAACTCGTTGGGTTCCCATATGATGGGTAGATTTTAAATTTTTATATTTGAATGTGAAATTTGAAGATGTTTTCAGTGTGACTCGGATCCAACATTAACTTTTTTTTTGGTCTCGGTCATAGAATTTTATACTTGTTTGAAGATCTACGATCGAGACCCAGACAAGTCTGACCTAACATTTTACTATATATATATTTTTTTAAAAAGATGATGGACCGCCGAGGCACTTGCATGTCTGAAGTTTGAAATTTTTTAATTTCTCATCACGT